TTCCCGACTGATCGGTAACACTCTACTCAGTCCCACCCTGCGCGGGGCGCACTGCAGGCAGGAAGTGACTGCTCCTATTCCATCCTTCAAGACATGCAGTTCAGGTAAGACCAACTGACAATCTCTGAAGTGGGGCATGGGAGGAGTCACAGCTGGGACCTACCAAAGCTAGGTGTCCCTGGGAGGGTCCATAGGGCCTGAGTCCCCCAGAGTATCCAACACTCTCTGAAGTACTCTCCTCCCAAAGGACACCTCCGCGGGGGCAATGGCGTCTAGTCTATAGTGTCTGATGAACGGAGAGGGTGAAGCCCATGCTGCCGCCCTGTAAATGACCTCGATGGGGGCCTGGATAGCCCAGGCCACTGAGGTAGCTGCACTCCTAGTGGAGTGTGCGGTGATGCCCTCGGGCACCTGAAGTCCCCGTGCCTTGTAGGCCTTGGAGATCGATAGCCTGATCCATCTACTGATGGTGGCTGGGGAGACTTTCGCTCCCCTGGTTGCCAGGTGGTAGGAGACAAAAAGGGCCTCTGACTGCCTGATGGGCAACGTGCGCTTCAGATAGATGTGCAGTGCCCTCCTGACATCCAGGCGATGCCAGGACCTCTCCCTTCCGCTGGAGGGAGCTGGAGAAAAATTTGGAATAATAATTTCCTGAGCCCTATGAAAGGGGAAATTAATCTTTGGCATGAAGGCAGAATCTAGTCTTATGACCACCCTGTTACTGTGAAAGATGCAGAGATCCGCCCTTGCTGACAGTGCGTTAATCCCTGACACCCTTCTGACTGAGGTAATAGCCACCAGGAACACTACTTTGAGGGTGAGCAGCTGGAGACTCACCTCTCTCAGAGGTTCGAAGGGTGCCTCCAGAAGTGCCTGGAGCACTGTGGTCAGGTCCCACGAGGGAAAACGGTGAATTACCAGGGGTCTGAGATTGGTTGCTCCCTTGAGGAACCATTTGATGATGGGAAGTTGGGACAAGGACTGTGTACCCACTCCCGCCAGGACGGTGGCCAAGGCTGAGACCTGAGATAGGGGCCAGGCCCTTCTCCGGTCCATCCTGGAGGAAGTCCAGGACCTGAGGAACCGTGGCCGCTGTCGGTTCTACCTGAGCCGAGTGGCACCAGGCCGCGAAGAAGACTCAGGTCACGTTACAGATGCGAGTGGTAGATCCCCTTCTGGCTGCCTCTATGGTCCCTATGACCCTTGTAGAAATCTGGGCCTCCCTTAACTGTGTCCACTCAATCTTCAGACGGTCAGTTGGAGCAAGTCTGGGTCTGGGTGAAGCAGACTCCCCTGGGTAAGGATTACCTCCTCCTAGGGGATCTTCCGAGGTGGCGCAGTGGTTAAATGCAGCACTGCAGGCTACTTCAGCTGACTGCAGTTCTGCAGTTTGGCTGTTCAAATCTCACCGGCTCAGGGTTGACTCAGCCTTTCATCCTTCCGAGGTGGCGCAGTGGTTAAATGCAGCACTGCAGGCTACTTCAGCTGACTGCAGTTCTGCAGTTTGGCTGTTCAAATCTCACTGGCTCAAGGTTGACTCAGCCTTTCATCCTTCCGAGGTGGCGCAGTGGTTAAATGCAGCACTGCAGGCTACTTCAGCTGACTGCAGTTCTGCAGTTTGGCTGTTCAAATCTCACTGGCTCAAGGTTGACTCAGCCTTTCATCCTTCCGAGGTGGGTAAAATGAGGACCCGGATTT